ATGCGCTCCTTCTATTGAAACTATCTCACGTAATCTACAGACAGAGGTAAACAACATCTGTAACTGGGTAAGAGTGAACCAGCTTTTCTTGAACACTTCAAAAACAAAATGTATTGTACTGGGGAGCAAGCCCAAAATGTCTGCTAAACCCAAACTCACACTAACTGCAAATGGTAAGGTTATCGAACAGGTCTCAGAGGTAAAACTACTTGGTTCGACAGTAGATGAGTGCCTTACCTGGAATACTCACACAAAATTAACATCTAAGAAAATGGCTAGATCACTGGGGATGATCAAAAGATGCGCACACTTTATGGATCAAACATTGTTAAAAATTGTAATAGAATGCCTTGTACTATCTCACATTGATTATTGCAGCCCAGTTTGGTCATGCACAACTAAAACTAACATAAACCTTCTGCAACGAATGCAGAACAAGGCAACTCGTCTGTTTCAGTCGAAGCCACAGTGGAAACCTGTGCACACGAGATTGTTAATAAACACCATGACAACATTTAAAAGGATAACACTCACAAACGAACCTATTTGTATCAGTAGGCAACTGCGTTCGGTCAACAACTTGCATAGTTATAGAACCCGTTTTGCTGCTAAACAATCTTTTCTGTTAGAGAAACCTAGAACTAACGCACTGATGAAGTGTTTCATGTACAGGGCTGTCAGTGTGTGGAATAACCTTCCAATTGTCATGCAATCCACACAATCCCTGAGAGTGTTTAAGGATGGTTTGCACAAATACCTCCACCAGTAGTTACAAGCACTGTTCGACAGGATTGTCAGTTTTTTAAATTATGTATATTGTAAATATGTTATTGATTTAGATGTGTTTGTGACTTGTCTAGTTGTCAACCATGTTTGTATAATGTATTGTCTCTGTGAATGAATACCAGGAAGACTAGCGGTGGACCCTAGGGTCCACCGCTAATGGTTATTCTAATAAAGTTTCAAAGTTTCAAAGTTACATTACATTATATAGTAGAGGGCGGGGATTCATTCCTCAAGCTACCGACATCTTGCACTATGCACTGGAAAGGTATATAGTGACAACTTCATGCACTTGTATCATTAGCCTCTGTACACTTGAAGAAGCCACACAGGCGAAACCGGTCGTGTGACAGGCTGAATAAAAGTTCTAAACGGGAACTATGCGGCTCCAAATGTCTTACTGAGGGACGACTGCGTGTGCAAGATGTCGGTAGCTTGAGGAATGAATCCCCTCTACTATATATACGGTATTTGGATGTTACGTGTAAAACATCACACTGTCGGAGTAGGCGCAATTGTACCGAACAGGAATGTCGCTCACGATCGGGTTGTGAGCTCGCATGGCCCCAAAACTTTGGTTACGTGTCCTGGCGATTTCGTGATTTGGGTGACGGATGTTTCGTGTAGTAAATGACATTCGATGCTGAAGTGGTACCGGGCAGGCATGGAGCATACGATCGGGTAGTGAGCGCGGACAACTCCGCTCGTCTGGATGTGCCGTTGGAGTGGCGTTATCAAACAAGTTTGGCTATAAGAAAGCAGGGTTGATCAGAAAACAGGGGGAAATGGCAGGCACTCTTCCCGCCTGCACCTGAGTCTAGCAACAAGAGTAAAACTATACATATCAAAATATATTCATCTTACAGTGTAGTAATTTATACAAATTGTTCACGTTATTTTTTCATTACAGACGTGTACTTAAAAGCTGATGTTTTCTGTGCCTGTTTTCTTGTCCATGGTACTTATACG